CCTTCCCCACCCAGTGGCTGCCCAGCTCAGGGAAGCCCATCAAGGCTAGACGCTTGGGCTGGGATCAGAATAAGGGGCGGGCGGCTGACAAGAGGCCCAGGAGGTCACCGGCCCCTATCTGGTTTCCCTTTCAGCCCCCTGTGGGGGACAGTATGAGGGTTCGGACGGAGTGGTCTTGTCCCCTAACTACCCCCAGAACTACACCAGCGGACAGACCTGCTTGTACTTCGTCACCGTACCCACGGACTACGGTATGGGTTTTGTCCTTGTCGTTACATGTATGTTTCCAGCTTCCCCCTCATTCCAAAATGGGCAGCTCCTCAGGCCCCTCCTGCTCATCCACTCCCACGGTGGGGACACTCGGGACAGTCCCCAGCAGGACAGCTGAGTGCCGACATGCTGAAACGGCTGTTGGGGGCTCCAGCCCTAATACAAGAGGGGAGGAGGGCCCGCCAGAACCAAGGAACCAGCCGGCAGTGAGCGGGGTGCACCGGGCACCACCTGGCACAGCCAAGGCCATGCAGAGGGCAGACCAGGCCCAGTGGGAGAAAGGGGAGGGCAGGAGTGTGACGGCGCTGGCCGGGAGTGCAGCTCAGGGAGACCGGGTTAGCACCGGCCCGAGAGTCCACGAGAACCAGAGCCTGGTCCAGCAGCCACAGGGAGGACAAAAAAAAAGGAGGACCAATCCGTGCCCTGAGAATACGGGGTGACCTGGCTGCAGAAGGCCCAGGGAGGAAGGGGCAGGCTTGTCACCTGGCTGGCTGTGGGAGCACCCAGATATCCTGCCAGCCCTGCAGGCACGTGAGCAGATCCTGCAGGGCAGCCATGCCTGACCCACTGCTGTCCCCGTGGTGTCCCTCTTTGCAGGAGGACTGACAGCTGCTTCTACTCCCAGAGAGAGTGGGAGTGAGCACGGCCAGGCCGACGCTTCAGTCGCTCAGACACTTAGTAGGTGCCTCTTAGGGGCCGTGCGCTGTGAGTGCCAGGGCTAGGGACGGGCTCCCTGTCCTCTACATGTCGCTGTGTCCCCGCCCCTGCTCCTGCACACCGAAGTGCTCGTGCTCACTCCCCGGGGCACGTGGTGGCAGGAGCTCTCCACCTTCCGATCACAGTTAGGAAAGCCCTGGACGGTCCGATTTGACTGCCCGCAGGGCGGAACCCTTGATAGGTGCGCCTTGCGTGCTTGAACTCCTCCCACGATGAGGGGCTCACGCCTGTGCAAGCAGCCCCCCCGAGGCTGGTTGGTGTCCCCGGGCCTGGAACCCGTATGGAGGACTGGCTCTGGGAAGAGCAGCCATCTGTGCCTGGGGGCCAGGGGCAGCTTTGTCGCCGTGGATCTGGACGACTTGTCCCCAGCATGCCGCCAGGCCCTTCGCTGAGCCGGCCACGCCCTGTCTCCCCACAGTGGTGTTCGGCCAGTTCGCCTTCTTCCACACGGCCCTCAACGACGTGGTGGAGGTGCATGACGGCCACAGCCAGCACTCCCGGCTCCTCAGCTCCCTGTCGGGCTCCCACACAGGTACCAGGGCCGCCGCGTGGGGGGCGGCCACGGGGGACCGGCACAGCCTTGTGGGGGCCAGCACTGGTGCTGTCTGGAAGCAGTGGACGGCGGGGCCTTCAGAAGCCCCCTGGCTCACGCTGTGCCCACACTGCCCCCGTGTGGCATAGCCTGGTCCTGCTGGTTTACAGTCAGCCCCCACATTTCTCCCCAGTCATGAACATACTGCTTTGCTGTGGTCGGAAACTTCGGGGCAAAACATAGAATTAACACAGAAAGAACTGCTGATAAGATGGAGGGTATTTCCAATCTTTCTGTCTACTTGTGCTTAATCTTTTACATATCTTATTGAACAAATCTGTGGATTTTTTATTGGAATATTCACTGTGAGCTTTCTTCTGTCATTGTATTTTCTTCTATAATAGGATCTTTAAATGCTGCACGTTAGTCTTGCATATAGTTATTTAGAATTTATGTAATGAGTTCCCCGTTAGTGAACATTTGACGGTCTCTCATTTCTCCTGTGAGTGGTAGCTCGATGTAATGTGCACACTGTCGCTATGCACAGCTCCGACTGGGGCCTTAGGGTAGGTGAGGGATCACGAGGGTGGGTCCCCATAGCACAGGGCAAGGCGCGAAGCGCTGGTGGCTCGGTCCACATTGCGGACCATGACTGGAGTCCAGCCACCGTGGCCTCGGGAACACACCGGGTGTGTGTGTGCACCCCAAATGCTGGCAGGATGGGGAAATGGAGGGAAAAGGATGATGACATGTCCCACCCCGCTCGGGAGTGCTCATTCCCTCTCTCTTTGTCTCTCTGGTAAATGTATGCACCCTCCGGCAATTAAAAAAAGTAATAATTCAGATTGTCAGCTATTCCTCTAAAAAGAGCTTGCCACTTTGCTCACCAACAATGAGCAAAAGGGCATGTTTTATTCTCACAAAACTAGGTAATTAAAAAACCATTACCATGTTTTATTCTCACAAAACTAGGTAATTAAAAAAAAATTACGCTGGGACCAGCAGGTGGCATAATGGCTATGTCACTGGACTCCTGTGTAGTCCGTAATTTGATCCCCAGACCGGGTGGCTTAAACTCACGCAGGGGGCTTGTGCACGCGTGCCCAAGATCCCAAGAGGGGAATAGAGGAGAAGGGATTGCAGCGTGGCCATCCCCCCTGGGGGGGTCAATTCTTGCTGTCTGTCTTTCTGTCTCTCTCTGTCTTTCTGGAGAATACACATACCCCGTAGCAAAAACCTCTCTTAAAAAAATAAAAAAACAAATGTGTCATCACTTTGAAAAGTAAAAATGGTGTCTCATTTTCTAATTTGCCTTTTTTATGACTACATAGGTTAACCTTTTACTAATGTGTTTCCTGGCTCTTGTGATTTTATTTGTGAATTTGTTTTGACTTGTCTGTTAGAATGTATTTTCTTGTGGATTGAGTAGCCCTCCATATTCTTTTGTTTTGTTTTGTTTTGGAGAGGTTTTTGTTATAGGGTGTATTGTGCTCTCCAGAAAGAGAGACAGAGAGACAGAAAGCAAGAAATCACCCCCCAGGGGGGATGGCCATGCCTCAATCCCTTCTCCTCCATTCTCCTCTCGGGATCTTGGGCACACGCCCAGCATGAGTTTAAGCCACCGGGTCCAGGACTTGAACCACAGTCAACTACATGAGAGTCCAGCGACATAGCCATTACACCAAGTGCTGGTCCTGCCCTCCATATACACTTTTTGTGTATATTATAGCCTCGAAAAAGCCTTCCCCTCCAGTTTGTCATTTGCTATTTAATTTTATTCAGGGCATTTTTGTTTGTTTGTTTGGTTGGTTGGTTTTTTTTGGAGAGGTTTTTGCTATAGGGCACATGCGCTCGCCAGAAAGACAGAGAAAGACAGCCAGAAAGCGAGAAATAGCCCCCCCGCCCCCGGGGGGAATGGCCATGCTGCAATCCCTTTTCCTTCCTCCATTCTCCTCTGAGGATCTTGGGCACACATGCACACGTGCCCAGTGTAAGTTCAAGTCGCCGGGTCCAGGACTCGAACTGCGGTCGACTACATGGGCCAACATAGCCATTACGCCAAGTGCTGGTCCCTAGAGCAGGTTTTAATGTCAGGAAATTCAAATTTCCATGATATCAAATTTATCAATGTTTTCTTTTATAGTTTCTTTTTTGTTTTTATGCTGATCAAGTAAATATTCCTCTTTGTTTTATTTCTTTTTGTTTCATTGTTTTGTCTCAATATTTTTAGAAGTTAATTTGATTTATTGGATAGAAGAAATCCAGCCATATCCTTCTAGACATAGATAACCAGTTGTCTTGGCAGAATATTCAGAATGCCAGGTTTACATATACTAAATTTTTATGAAATTAAGAATTTGTCTCTAGACTTTTTAATCCATTTCCTCTCATTGTTTATTCTTATGTCAGTATCAAACAATATTTAATTATTGTAACATATAATGGTGTTTAATGTTATAGAATCTTAAACAAATTGTAGTATAAGTTCCATAGTCATTCTCTGTTTTGAAGTTTTAATTGGCTATTCTTGCTCACTTTCGCTTCCACATAAAATCTAGAAAGATTTTTGTCAAGTTAAAAAAGTTACACCAGTGGGAACCAGCAGTTAGTGTAATGGCTATGTCGCTGGACTCCCACGTAGTCGACCGCGGTTCGCATCCCGGACCCGGTGGCTTAAAACTCACACCGGGCGCGTGTGCGTGCGTGCCCAAGATCCCGAGAGGAGAATGGAGGAGAAGGGATTGCGGAATGACCACCCCCTCTCGGGGGTGATTTCTCTCTTTCTGTCTCTATGTCTCTCTCTGTCTGGCAAGTGCACGCACCCTATAGTGAAAATCTCTCCAAAAAAAAAAAAGTTACACCAGTATTTTCACTGGAATTTTGTAAAACTTACAGACGAGACCAGGGAGGACTCATGTCTCTATATAACCTCTTCGTCCCATTCGGGAACAGCGTATGTCTCTCTATTTATTGATCTTTTGTTTTCGTTTTCTAGTTTTTTGCTATAGGGCACATGCACTTGTCAGAGAGAGAAAGAGGGAAAGTGAGAAATCACCCTCGGGAGAGATGGCCACGCCACAATCCCTTCTCCATTCTCCTTTTGGGATTTTTGGGCCTGGCCTAATTTTCAAGCCACCAGGTCTGGGATTCGAACTACAGTCAGCCATATGGGAGTCCAGCACCTTAACCGCTGTGCCACCTGCTGGCCCCTTTACTGACCTTTTGCAGCCTTTGGAGAGTGCTGTCATTGTCATTTAGGCAATATTCACCGTTTCGTTAGCTTCGGTCCCAGATGTGCAGATTTTTGTTGTTGTCTTGCTGTTCATAGAAATGGATCTTTCATTTTTCCTGCCTGTTACACTGCGTCATTGGAGGAGTCCTGGTGTATTTTTCTGGTTTTCTATGCAAAAATGCATCAGGACTC